TCACCACTTTAGTGCGTTTCCTGGCTGGGACTGACAAGCTCACACATGACATAAACAGACAGCATCCTTAAACGTCCCAAACAATAAATGTTTTAATAGTGATGACTACAAGATCTACCTGCATGAAATTAATAATCTTTAGAGTAAAATGAATAAATATGATTATGATTATAGGAAATGGCATTATAAACTGATGCTGAGATATGATTAAAATGCATAGTAGTGTAATGCATGATGAACTCAAACTACAATGGCTATAACAGTAAAAGTGCAAGCATTTTTTAAATAATATTTTAAAAAGTAACTGTTTGTGTTTCTGGTTGTGTCCATCAGGTCCTAACTTAGATGTAGCATCACATGACAAGCAAACACGACATGATGAATCCTTGTGAGCATTCATTGGAGGGATAGTATTTTTCTTTTCATGCTGTAGATGTAAGAGTCACAATAACATGTGCTGCAGATGCCTTTTGTGCTACTCTACACAGTAGTTCCCCATGCTGGTCGCTTCCTTTCCCTTTTCCTGTCTTCTTTTTCTTCCTCCATCTCGGTTTCCTGCCAGCTGCAGCCATCGCTTTATATACCTCTCTATCTCCTCGTCCACGGCATCCTTACAGAACGAGTTCTGCCTGACTGCGTCTGCAGGGGTAACAGGGGAGCAAAGTGAACACATGAAAGTAAGTAAAGGCTTTAACTGTTTAAAATACACCATATTTTCTTATGTGTCCTGCAGAAGCACACTCACTGAGGATAACTCTCTTGATGGTGAGGTTCTCTATTTTGTGCTTGTTATTTCTTCCCCTCCAGTTGATGTTTTTGGCCAAAGTGTTGGTAAAAAGCTTTGTCATTGTCCTCCACACACTGTGTTTGTTGGACAAACCTCCAGACAGGTCGAAGTAAGAGATCTGCACAGAAAGAATGACGTGCACATTAACTCATTAGTATATATGCCATGTGGCATCCCCCCCTTCCCCCAAAAAACTATATATAATAATTGCTATAAATAACAAACTTTGGTCCTACATCAGGGGTGTCAAACTCCAGGCCTCAAGGGCCGGTGTCCTGCAGGTTTTAGATATCACCCTAGGTCAACACACCTGAATCAAGTGATCAGTTCATTACCAGGCCTCTGAAGAACTTCAAGACATATTGAGGAGGTAATTTAGCCATTTAAATCAGCTGTGTTGGATCAAGGACACATCTAAAACTTGCAGGACACCGGCCCTCGAGGCCTGGAGTTTGACACCTGTGTCCTACATGGTTCATATCAACCAGGAAAAAATACGACAAAAAATGACACGACTAATACTACTCCATATCAACACACCATTACAAATACATCTAACAGCTGCTTACATTTGCAGAAGTACATAAACCGCTAAACTGTTATTGCAATTAAAGAGAAATGTTTATTGGTAAAAATTCAGTTTATTTTGACAAAGACCCAGAATGCAGGACCACAGGCAGAAAGAGTCTCACAGTAATCAATCAATCAAAGCTTTATTTGCCACATGCAGGTTGCCCTGCAGTGAAATGGGACCCCCCCCCCAACCTACCAACAGACACAACACAGACATTACATGGGGATACAAGTCGGAGATTGGTAGCGTTACAGAAAAACACTGAAATATACACTACAATGGGAAAGTAAAAGAGGAAAAAAAGAGACCTCTACTCATGCTGTGCTTCCATGGTAGGACAGCATGAGAACAGGAAACAAAAAAACTCCTCTGCACAAAAAGCACATAAATGTCCACAGCACAACTCTGTGAAAGACATGACAAGCCACAGGATTGGGTGGGGGGGTGTGAGGAGTAATATGAAGCGAACACAGCAGCCGCCCTAATTACAACTCCCTCCCCTCCTTGTGGCACAGTCCTCCTTATTTGTATTAAAGTTACATCATCTTCAGTTTGACCCGCCAAGCAGAAAGTCAAGATGAGAATCAACCAGTCGTCAGACTTCACCAAGCAAAATGCTAAAGTACCAAAAAACAGCACTGGCATATAAGAGCGAAGGACAACTACAAAAACAACTGAGGAGTAAATATAATTTATAAGGTGGCCCAAATTATCATGTTTTCTAAATTTATCAGTAAACCTTATAAAGAGAAAACATTTCCCAGTCATGACATGCAAATGTTAGTGAAAACTGACACAAGTTAAAACTGATAAAATTCCAACATCTGATGATACTTACCATTTTCTTCTTCAGCTGTGGCTCAGCGCAGAGTCTGTGATCCGAGGTTCTTAAATCCTGTACCGACTGCAGCGGCAGAGGAAGCGTCTCAGCATCTGGAGGTTCACACAGCAGATGGATTTTGTGACCGCAGTATTTTTAGAACAGTGCTGTTTTGCTTTTTGATAGTTTCCAGTGAAACGAGAACCTCTAAAAGTATTGCTTAAAAAAGAGATACATAATCACTTGTGTTGTCAGATACCAGAAAGCCTTTTATGTGCTATTCTTAGACTGACTGGAGCTGCATCTACCAAAGTACTGCGTATTTGTAAATGTTCCTTCCTGTTTGGCTGCAGTTTCATTAAGCTGTGACTGACAGGTAGCAGCAGCCTTATATTTGGTTGGTTGGTTATGGAGAAAGAAGATAATTATGTGTGAATTATGTGGAACAATAGTCCAGTCATGAAGGTAGCAGTCTGACCTCCCTCTGCCTATCTGTCACTTCAGCTCCTGTAGCAGAATGCACAGACAAAAGATGCACGTCCTGATATACTAAGCTGGGCAAATTCACACAACACTGATAAGGCAAGAGAGCAAGCAATGCATTAAACAAAGGAAACCAAACTAAAGACTCAGGAAGAGGAATTAGTGAAGAGCTACAGGGCACAGCCAAAGCTAAGGCACTGCACTCAGAGCTTTGAACCATCCTGCCGTGGGAAACGTGACATTGCAGCTCTTTAGTAAATATTGACAGTAGATTTTCAACAGCCAAAGAGGGTTTTGTTCTGGTGCAGACTGTTTGTAAATGTGCCCCATAATCCATTCAGTCTGTCCTGGATCTGTCTCCTTTCAGCAGG